CTCTACAAAATATTTGGGTGAAATCACTCTTTTATTTTAAATCAAAATATGTTAGGAACCCCCGTAACTATTTTGAGATGAATTACAATGTTGATGGTATCTTTGTTTAACTCGTATGTTACTAGGAATTCCATAACCAACAAAATTATGAGTACAGAAGCAATTTGATGTAAACAGTATAGAAAAAAGTTGTTTAAAAAAATAATGGGGTTATTGTAGGCCCTACCTGTAATTATTTGTTTGTTTTGGAAATTTGAGCAAACCTACTAAGGGACTATCTGTACTAGCCATCCCTAATTTTGAACTGATAATCTAAAAGGAATGTAGCTAGTCAACAGTATCCACCACCATATCTTGGGTTACTCTACTCCAATATTGGGATTTGATGTCATATTCATAGTGCATCCATGGCCACAAAGCATTGCATAAAGTTTTGCATGAAATGAGATGTGAACCATGTACCTCTGATTCATGATTGAATACACTCTCCACTAGGCCATACCCAACCCACCATTAATTTTAGGAAGAACTACAAACTTAAGAAAATATATCTTTTATTAAAGACATTTTTAAACCCATGAAACAGTACTTTATGTAATTGATTGATTTTTTTTCTGTATGAAAACATTGCAAGCTATATAATTATTTTACAAAATCTTAACTTTACAATGTATGTATGTGAGTGAGGAGGATGGATTCTTGCAACCTATAAGAGTTTCATGCAGGCCTCATAATTATTGTGCAAAAATTCTGAGCAATGTAACGAAAGTGAGAGAACTGCTATAATTCGTAAGTTTTGTGCTTCTGCATTAGGTACATTGTACAATAATTGATTTTTGAAGCAATCATAAATAACATATCGCCAGTTGTAAAAGGGGAGTATGAGAGTTTATAATTCTTATTTTTTCTGATAACATACAACAAACACTTTGACATACTGTAAATTTCAGAATACACAGTAGTTACAAGAAGAGGATTTTATTATCTATTACTGTGGTTTCCAGACTTTTGGTAATCACAGGCCTGTAAAATTCCAAAAATATTTTCGGGGACTGATATTCCAAATAAAATATCTTTTAATTACATAAGTAAAATAATATGATATTTACAACAAAAACAGTTTATTTCAAAAAGAAAAAAAAAAGTTTCTATTAGTGGATATATATGGAAAAGGCTTTTAGTGGGAATTTGTTACAGACCACCAAATGATACTGATGAAATTAATGAGAAACTTTACAATGAGATTAAGATTTCATCTTTTAATGAAGTCATAATTATGGGTGATTTTAATTTTAGGCATATAGATTGGGAAATTCTAGAGTCAAACCATGAGGGAGAAAGGTTTTTCGAAACTGTTCAGGATGGCTTTCTTCACCAATTAGTCAAGGAACGTACTAGAAACAATGATATTTTAGATTTAATGGTAACCTCAAATATAGAAATGATCGAGATGGTGGAAATTGGGGAACATCTGGGTGCAAGTGATCATTGCTCTATTAGGTTCGATGTTTTGCTGCATGTGGAGATAAGGAATAATGATATTTTGGTTGCAAATTTTGAAGGAATGCAACAAGAATTATCTGTTGTGAATTGGACAGCTGAGTTCTTTGGAGACACTGATCAGATATGGAAAATTTTTAAATATTCAAAGTAAACATATTCTTTATAGAAAAAAAGGGGAGGTGCAAGTAAAAAACCAGTTGGCTCACAAAAAGTTTAAGAGATAAAATTAAATAAAAGCATCATAAATTTAAGAAATTTATATTGACTGGTATGACAGGAGATTTAGAAGATTATAGAAGATCAAGAAAGTTGGTGAAACAGGAAATTAAGACATCAAAAAGGATTTATGAGAAAAGGTTGGCTGAATATGTAAAAATTAACAGTAAGGATTTCTTTAATGTCACAAGTGGGGTACCTCTGGATTCAGTCAAAGGACATTTGCTCTTTTCCATTTACATCAGTGATGTAAATGAAGAAATAGTCAATAAATTACTTAAATTTGCAGATGATATTAAGGTCTTGGGTGTTGCTGGCTGTGAAGAGGATGCTGCTGATTTACAAAATAATTTAAATCATTTAGTGAGTTAGGCAAATAAATGGCAGATGGGTTTTAATTATAATAAGTGCAAGATAATGCATTTGGGGTATAATAATTTGAATTATAAGTATAATTTAGATGGGAATAACCTTAACAGTGTTATGAAAGAAAGAGATCTTGGTGTAATAGTCAATCAGTCTCTAAAGCCATCAAAACTGTGTACTGTTACTAATGGTAGGGCAAATAAGATTTTATGTTGTTTCTTCAGAAATATTGAATACAGTTCTAAAGAGGTTATAATTTCATTGTAAGGTCACTGGTTAGGCCATATTTGGAATATTGTGTTCAGTCTCGGGCTCCTTACCTTAGGAAAGACATTGAATTGTTGGAAATGGTTCAGAGAAGGGTTACAAGGATGGTGTCTGGGATGGAGGGGTTGTCATGTGAGGAGTGATTGAGATCTTCGAAACTGTTTTCTCTTGAAAAACATAATAAAAGTAGAGGGAATCTGATAGAAGTGTTTAAAATTGTAAAAGGAATTAATAGTGTTGATGCATGTTTTTCATACTTAATGGCAAGGATAGTAGGATTAGGGTCACAGATATAAATTTTGGCAAGGTAGGAGTCATCTTCAGCTAAGACAGTTTCATTTAGCTAACAGGGTGGTTGGCATTTGGAATGGGTTGCCTTTGAATGTTGTAGAGGCAGTAAATTTAAGTGCATATAAGAAAATGCTTAATAAATATGTGAATGATAAGGTTTGGCTTTAAGATTTTTTTTTAATTATTTTAATTTAGTTTCGAGGATGGAACAGCCAAGATGGACCAATAGGTCCCATGTTGTCCCAAAACATTATGTTATGTTACGCAACTTTTAGTCGTCAAATATTGAAAGAATCATAAGTATCAGTGCTTTTAACATAATGTGACCCCCAGAAAATTAGTAAAAATAGGTGCTAGGAGATTAAGTCTGGAAGCAATTTGTATATATACGTTGAACTTGTTTTAATATATTATTTTCAAACAAGTAGACAATGTTGGTGTTTGTTTAATTGTTGAAATTTATCGTGAACAAGCCACAGACACCTACTGTAAAGAATCTGGCCGACTGACTGTAGCGATATGGCCTTTGGCTTCCATTTACAAATTGTCAACAGAAGCCATTATATATGACTATTTCAAGCCTTTCAAGCTATAAAATGCTAATGCTTCATCAGAATAATGTAGACTATGTAGAAAATATTAAATGCCATAAGCAGCTGCACTATAACTATATAAGCTTAATATATTTACATAATAAAAATAAGGGGATTGGCCAAACCCTCCCCCCTCTCTTCTGTACATGCATGGATGTAAGTTGGAAGATGCAGTATTTTTTATTATGATAGTAAATACTTCTTTACCCACATCACTACAAGAGGTTTGGATGGGCAAACATATTAATAATTTAACTACTAATTACCATTATAATCTTGATCACAGTAAAAGTCCCTCCATTCTTCCATTTTCATATGAAAATATTAATTTTTTTAAGATATATAATACTTCATTCTTTTGTTAGGTTTCATCACCACCATCACTTTGATAGACAGCTTAAAATAATGTTCTTTTAAGATTTTCTCTTCCTTTACAAACTTGATTACATCATTCTTCCAGATTTGGGAGTACTTACTGACATTTTTGGAAAGAAAATTCTCGCTTTTTAATTTATCCTCAAATTTTACAATAATCTAGTTATCCCATACCTAAATATAAGTAATACCTCCATCTCATTTAAGCACCAAAAACCTGTTAATCCACAATATTCAAAGAATGTGATGAAATTGATATAATGTTTTTCCTTTTAAGTGCTGCATAACTATTGACTATCATACATGTACAACATTGTTTATTTTTTAACCATGTGTAGAATTTAATTAAGTTTACTTAATAAAATTTATATCTATAAATTTATCTTTCTTTATCATATGAATATTTTACACTCGAGTGTTTCTAAACTTTTGATATATAATGGCCATATAATTACTTTGGCATAGGTAGCAACCATGATCAATATCATTTTATCAAATCCAAAAAAATACATAGCTTTTGAATTTAATAAAATCTGTAGGTTTTTTGGTAAAAATCCCTCAAAATATATAGGGAATAAAACTGTGGTTGTGACTTTAAATATCTGCACCACCAATTGTGTACTGTGTATATCAGTAGGTAGGCCTTTTTTACCTCTGAAGTACAATCACTGAATTGATGTACATTGAATGCCTCTACAATTTGTTAAGGTTTGGGATATAAATGTGATAAATAGTTTGCTGCAATTGTGTGAATTTTTGCATGATACACTACAAGTTGATACATTACCTTGGCAACAGTTTCAGTTACAATTATCTAAAATTAATGCCTTTTTTATATTTTTCCAACTCCATTAGTTCCCTGAACCTCTCTTTCAAATTTGTGTGGTACTGTTAATATGGGTGTAACACATCAAAAAATGTTAGTTCCTTAAGTAACAAGAAAAATTAGGTTATAGTATTACACCTTAATTAAATTGCAATGAATATGTTCATTACAAAAAAAATTATATAATTTTAAATACTTTTAACTTTTAATAAGTTACAGATTCCATACTTGGCTGAAACAACGTACTGATGAAACAAGAATTCTAGTACATGACTTTTCTACATTACAGTACTCAGATTTTTCCAAGTTTTTGAAAAAAAAAAGAAGAAATCATAAAAGCACTAAGTTAATCAGCTTTAAAAATTTTTATTACCTTATAGGCTTGTGTTATTGAAAGGAAACTAACTGTATTAGACTTGTAAAGTGTATTAGTTCTGTAATTACCATTGTTACCTGATTTTTAAATGAAGTATTAGTCAGTTCCTTGATATATAGAGGGTTATACTTAATAAACATATTAAATATGGCAGTATTTTGTATCTTTTTTTGTTGTTTTTTTACAGGGTGCAGGATTGTCTGTTCATGGACATTTTAGAGTAGCTACAGAGAGAACAGTTTTTGCAATGCCAGAAGCTGCCATTGGTATGCATCATATGCATGTCAAGTAACTATATAACATTCTATTATTTTTCTGCTACTTTTTCCTATACAATAAAAAGAAAGCTTGTAACTGTAAAAATGAATGAGCTGGAAGTTAGTTTTAATTTTACATTTCTCTTTTTTACTATTATTACAACAAAAAATAGTACATCTGTGTTTTTAAAACAATTCATTATGTGTATTTGGAGAATTTAAAAAAAATATTCTTTCATTCATATAACTTCATACATTGTATGTATAAATAAATTCTGTGTATTTCATAGTTTAGTATATATATATAGACGGCTGATATGGGTACTAAAAACTTTTGTTTAAAAAACACGAAACAAGTAACAATGTTTCGACTTCCTTAGGTCATCATCAGGAGGTTGAAATGTTGTTACATGTTTTGTGTTTTCAAATATACGTTTTAGTACCCATATCAGCCATCTCTACTATATATATATATATTGTTACGACAGCGGAAGTCACGTGACGCTGGTAGCACGTGATGAGTTTCTAGAAGGATCGGGGAACATCACGAATAATCCAGTATTTGTTAGGCGCCCTCTATTTTAGTATATAAGCCGCCAATTAACTGAATTGCAGGCAGAGAGATATAGAGACAGATAATCGAGTCAAGCCTTAAGTAAAGTGCGTGAATCGTTGTGAATTCTAGCGTGTGTTTAAGTTAAAGTGACTGTGGAAACTAAGTGTATTGCAAAGTTGAATTGAGAAAGAATAAACTAGTTTTTATTTATGAAAAGACTTGTATCGCTGAAGTTTCTCGAGAAGAATTTTTACGGGAAATTAACAAACGACCAGAGACGTAACAATATATATATATATTTACTTCAAGTGAATTCCTCATCATCATGAATAGTTTGGTAAGATTATTAGATTCTGTATATTCATGTCACCAGATTTGCCTCATGTTTATGAAATAATATATTTACAGGCCTTGCATTTCAAAAAAGCTTTGATTTCATCTACAAGCTAGCATGATTTTGATAAGCCTGATTTTACAAAGAAATAAAAAATAGAGTAAACAAGCACAGTTAAACTGTTTTGGATAGTTTGGCATTCTAGATTTAAAGCAAGATACATACAGGTAAATGCATTGCAAGTATACCTCAACCAGAATTAATCTGTTTCTGTATTTAATAGATTTTCGTAAAATAAAAAATGACTTTTTGGTATACAAGTACAACATATACTAGTCACCCTTATCTAGTGTATATATTTCAGTATTCTACAAAATTTATACTTTTTCTAAACTTCTAATTTTGAACATTCTGAATTTGATCAAACTTGTGTGCTAATTCAACCCTTGGTTTACTTGTCATAACAGAACTTGCTAAGGAAGCTATCTATTGCATAATATTTTCAAAATGAGATCCAAAACTCGAGTACTTTTGAATAGTTCACTATTCTTCTTCTTTATTCTCCTTCTGTAGGTGATCCTGTTTGCTAACTACTTAACATGAAATTAAAGTATAGTTTCTTTTATTCTCTAATCTAGATTGTTTATGTTTTGTCAAAATATATTAATAATTTTGGTGAAATTGTTATCAAGTTTAGCAAAATTAAACTGAAGAATTAATTATATATTTATAGTCCCCAAAAATTTTAGATAATACTAAAGTTCCCCAGAAGGTATATTTTATGCGATACAGAAACTGATCCAATATAATAAACTAACTAGAACTTTCTCTTGTAACCACTGAAAGATTATCCAGATATCTTCCTTAATATTTTTTAAATCATGTTTAAAAATGTATTGAAAAGAAAATGAAAGTAGCATAGATTTTTTAAGTGCTCAAATACCTGGATTATCCCAACAATGTTGTTACTATATTTTAGCAACAAGCACAAAACTGCAACCCAAAATAATAAGAATCCCAAACATGTTAAAACTCTTCCTGTAATTTGTATTATTTTTTTCAGTAAATTTTTGCTAGGTTAGTAGATTTTTTAACAGACAGTGAAACTGCTTTTATTGATCAAGAGTAAAATATATCCAAATCATATCTTCTCTCACACTACAGCTATTACTCGACTGCCAGGGTTTCTTCTTTTGCCCTTCTAAGCATTGGTCTGATTTTTTCTCGCTAGTCTTTTATACCCCACTTAATTGCCCTTGGTGATATTTGTCTCATGACACTCTCTACCTACGTCAAGGAATATTACTGTCAGATATAAAAAATACAGCTTCTTTCAATATTGAAAAAGTAATGGATAATTGACACTTTTGGGGAATCAGCCTGAAAATTAATTGTGCAGCAAAAGGGGTTAAAGAACTTTTCTTCAGTGTGAGTTCTGATAGATAAATAAGTTTTGCAGTATCAAGAAAACTTGGAACTTTCAGTTTAACAATATTATCAGTATTCCTATCAGTGTGACAAATGTGTAAAACTTTGTTTTAAACCTTTTACAAAATTTAATTATGAATGAAATTTTATGTTCAAGGAAAAAAACAAATCAACTCGTAGTGTTGAAGTTACCATGTTTAAGGATTTGTTGAAAATTATATTAGTCAAATTAAACAAAAATGCTATGAAGTTCTGTTCATTAAGACAAAGCATTAATTTACCAGAATTATTAAAATAATGTGATATAGCTGATGAAAGACTTTTTTTAATTTTATCAATAATGAGGCTGGTGAAAAAAAAAGCAAAATTTTGTTTTGTTTTTAATGCTTTTTCTTTCTTTTTCATACAATCTGGTCAAGTGCACATGTCATTGTCATTTATAGTGTTACATTCAAAATATAATTGAACAACTTTATTATCAATGCATGTCAATACACATGGCAAGAAAACACAGTTTGTAATTTAAATTTGTTTACTATTTAAATTTTAACTTCATAATTTCAAAAAGGCATCTCGTACTTCATTTTTTCTCTGTTATGTGATGTGTCCAAGCTAAAATTTCTCCACTTCATTATTTTTTAACTTCTGAAATAGGCTGTTTTAATATCAGTCAGTTACAGACACAAACTATACGTAATAGCAAGCAAGAATATAAAATTTGAACCTTCTGTCTTCATGATTTGTTGAGATATCAATAAATTTGTGAAACTAACCCAAAAAGCCCTTCCCTCTTCTAGATTATTTGCTCATCAACTTTATATTGTTCATGTGCATGTATCCAAAAGAAAGAGCAGGTCCTCCTCTTTATAGGTCTTATAATTCTGCAAACATTTTTCCCATCATAAAACATTAAGTGAGAATTGCTTGATTTGTGTTGTTCAGGTTTGGTGCTCTGAACAGTAACGGTATTTTTTAACTTAATTATAGCTTATGTAGAAAGCTGGATAGATTATAGTAGTTTTGGAACTTTCTAATTCTTTGTATTCTGAGATGCATATTTGAAAACTATTTGAAACTTTTATTTGGACACCCAAATTTGTGAGACTCAACTAGCCTTAGGGAAGAACATCAAATATTTTTTACTTGAGTGCAAATGGCTTAAGTCAGTGTTTTTCAAACTTTAAATATTGGTGCCACCAAACTCGGCAAACTTTCAGCTGCACCTCCCCCTTCACATTAAAATAATTTTCACAAATGATAGCAAAATCAACATTTTCTTTTCCTGTTTTTAATAACTTTTTTAAAATGAAAAAATGCTTGTAAGGAGTAAGTAAATTCGAGAAAGAAAAAGTTTTGGGAGCAAAGTGATAGTTTTGTTAGGCTATTGTCATCTCCAACGCTTCTGTTTTTTTCCACTGTTATTTTTGGGCTCTCCCAAAAGGCTGTGCCCCACAGTTTGGAAAACACTGACCTAAGTACTACAACTCCTTGTTTTGTATGTACATCTTTTGTTTTTATTATTATATAAATTTTAAAATTCTCAGTTTAATCTAACAAAATGTTAGTAAAATAAAATGTCTAAAGTTTTACTGGCTCTATTACACTGTGAAACATGACCCTCAGATCACCTGCTACTTACATTAGTTCTCTGGGAAACAGCTGGGCTCCCACTATGATTTATTGCTTTCGATGTAAGGATTACTGCTGCAGTAGGTACAAATAAAGTACAGCAATAATACCATAAAATTAAAAGAAAACATATGAAAAGATTAACAGTTGAAATTGTTAAGATAATTAATTTGGAACTTTCTGATTGATACTGCTGTCAGTGCAGAGGAAGATATGGTATAATTCATTGATTTCTAATTTTCTAACTTTTCCTTTGACTGTACATTAATGATTTCTTTACAGTTAGTGTTAGGGTAGAGAAAATAAGAGATGAAATATAAAGCCATTAAAAGGTTTACTGAAAAAAACTTGTTATGAATTTAGGAGGTTAAAGAGATTATCCAAATGAAATGTGAAGATCACCTTTCACTTAGACTGACTCAGTAAAGGCTTTCCAAATTGACTGACAAATCTTTAGTAGAAATACTTTACTAAAAACTGTTTGTTTGTTTTTATGTACAACAAACTTAATGTTTACTTAAAGCATACCAAGCTTTTGTAAAGCTATATTAAGAGTTATAGTATGTATTGTTTCACAGTTCTAAAGTTTGTCAAACTGATGAACTTTGTTCTTATAGAATTAAAATTAAGCTAATTTTACAAAATGAGAAAATAGATTTGAAGACATAATCTGTAAATGCATAAGAAACTTAAAGAGGGTCACTATAAACAACTGAACAAGATATAAAATTGAAAACATTACGTGCTTCAGTTTTTACATAGCAAATATATCCTCACTTCTGTTGATAATGTTACCAACAATTTTAATTTTACTGTTATTTATAAAAAAAATATTGTGCAGAGAACTAAACCTTAACTTACAAACACAAAATACGTAATGCAGTCTTTTCATTTTCTGCATGCAGTTGAACGTGACTCATAGGCACATGTGCAAATCTAATTATGCTTGCTGTTTGTTGTATGCACGAAAGACCACATTAGTCACACTTCACATTATAATTTCTAGTACTCCTGAGGAAAGCAGAAATATGTTATCTTCAAAAATGTGTTGAGCATTCATACAACTTATAAGTAGAATAAAAACTATGTCCAGTACAAAATAAGAGCAGATTTTTGTCTATTGCTAGTGTTCATACTCACCAATAGGTTTCTTTTTTGTGCAGTTTACACGCAGCAAAACAAGATTCTGTACTTATAATTAAGATATTAAGAAATTACATTTCTGTGTTTCAAGTAGTAAGTTGTAGAGAGGAATAAAGAGAATTTAAGAAATTAAAAACAATATCAACATTACAATGTATATAGCTACCACAAAATGATAAATAGCTTTCTTTGGTTAACAGTCATGCTGGCAAGAAGTATATGCTGCAGTCAAAATTATCACAGAATGCATTTATGTATGTTTACTCATGGTGTTTATTAATTATACTACAGCTACTAAATAAGGCCATTTCAGCTTCTCATTGCTGAGAGAACAGTATCTGTCTTATGCTTTTATAATGCACTATTAATGCATGCTTTACCAATAGGATTCTAGCTTAAAGAGAAGCTTGATTGAAAGAAAACAGGTCTCTTAGTTGTAAGCAGTGTTCAAAGCCCTGTTTATATGTTCTTGAACAGCCATTAACTTTCAGTACTTTTTGTATATAGGATTTTTTGCAAGTGTGGGTGGAAGTCATTTTCTTCCTCGTCTTCAGGGTAAATTAGGCCTATATCTTGCTTTGACAGGCTGTCGACTTACTGGGCATGATGTGGTCAAAGCTGGAGTAGCAACACATTTTGTGGACAGTGGCAGAGTATGTGTTCTAAATTATTAAGGATATTAAATATATTACTAGGATTCTGCTTATTGTTACTATATTATTTTGGCCCACATTTTCCTGAGACTCCAAAACAGCATATATAACAATACTTCCAGTATTATCTTGAGATACAAAAACTTTGTTTGTAAGTTCTTATCCTCCTCTTTTTAAAAAGATCCAATATTTCATTTATGCTTTTTCCAGTTATTTTTAGTTATCACAGATAGATCCTGATAAATCAGAATATCTAAGTGTACATTTTTAACTCTTAATGAAACAGATAGATTCTGTAATATAAACAGTGCTATGTAGATCTGTTTGTAAAATCTGAAAAAAATAATCATTACCCTGTTTACAAAACATTTGTGATGTTGATTACATGCCTACCCTCGCTGCAAGAAATAATATTAATAAGTGGAAGATTAAAAATCTGATGTGCATACCTGTATCTAATTATGCAAACATTCAATCTGTCATAAAAATTCCTTGACTGAAAATAAGATTACTGTTTTGAAATGTTTTAGCATCATACTAGGACATTTTGTTTTCAGGAACATTCAATTATTGAAGATAACAACGAAACATTATATAAGTAAACCATAACTTTCATGCATTCTGATACATTTGATCGTTGAAGATGAGAATGGAACATCATGCAAATTTATTTAAGTGTAGTATTTTTGTACATTTAAATACACTTAATGAAAATATGAGTTGTTTCTTCAGAATTTTTGTGCAAAGCTACATAAATTGCTATCCAAATGTAGCATTCCTAATTTTGACCTGATAAGCTAGAGGGTGTCAGCAGCTAGTCAACAGCAATTCTTGAGCATCATTGTCTGACCAAATAGTGTGATTTGATTATCGCTTATAGTGCATTCAGGACCTGAAAGTGCAGATAAAGTTTTTGCAGCAAAATCCACAAATTGTTAGATTCACAGTCTCAACATTCTAATCACGAGGCCATCTACTAGAAAAATTGAAAAATAAACAAAATTAACAATAATTGTTTGTAATTCAACTTGTAAGAAAACCCTAATACTTAAGAAACCATAAAAGCAAAGACAGAAGTGTGTAGAGTTTGAAGTAACTCTGGGTTGGCTTGGCAAAAACATGTACAAACATAGTATTAATTCTGAAGGGATTATATCTTATAACTTCATTGTAAACATGCAAAACTAAAGAAAATGTCTGTCAGGAAAGATGAGAAATAAAAAAACAACCTTAGTTTTGACTTAGACCCCTTCTTTAGACAGTTTCCTCAGGTGTCCATATTATTGAGTAATGCCTAAAGTGTAAGGTTTAAGGTTACTGCAGAATTTGTTTTTAAGTTTATTATTTATTATTATTTTTATTATTTATTGTGAAATTCTTAATTTACAGTAAAATGGACCAATACATAAATATGTGCAGCAGATTTTTTGTATACATTTAATTTAAATATGAGTAAAACTTATTAATAAAAAGAAATAAGTAGCATGTATATTAAGTACTTTTTCATATGATGATGATTATAAATTTTACTAAAAGTATAACACATCTGACTCTTCCCATGAATGTATATATTTTGACCTTGTATAAATCTACACATCTTAAAAAGTTCTGAGAAACATAAAATCATGGAATAAGAAACATTTCTGCAGCTGTAATAAATATCCCCCTAGAAAGTTAAAACATCAAGTAATATATGTTGGTTTTGAACAGTGTGGCTACAAGCAAGTCATAAGTTTCAAGATGTGCAAGAGTAGACAAAATGATAAATGAGACTAACAAATTTATGTCAGAAATATTGTCCATAAATTCATTATCATCATTTACTTTGTTTGGGAACTCCTTTTTTTTAAGCAACTGTATGCAAATTGTTTTATAACACTGCACCTTCCTTATTCATTTTACTAAGTTAGTATGAAGGAACTCACAAAAGGCTGGAGTAGAGGAAGTGTATTGTTTTTAATGGGGACTATTGAGTTGTGATACTTAGCTGGTTATATCTTTATCACTATTGGTTTATGTTTAATGGCTATACACGTAAACTGTTATGGGTGACATATACAAAATAAAAATCATGTTTCTTTTGCACAGATAAACACTATAGAAGAGAAGCTTTTAAAGATGGAATCTCCTTCATTTCAAGAAATTGACAAGTTGTTGTGCAAAAACCAGGAACAAGTAATGAATAATTTTTTTCTACATTTGATTAATACATCTTTATAGAATACATTAAAATATTTTTACTTGAAACATTACTGTTGGAAATCCTTTCAAGAGAATCACAAAATAAAAGCTAGTTAGTTAGTTAAGTTTTCAGCCACTTTATACAATCAGTTGGACTGTTTAAAAGATGCTATTATCTAACTTTTGAAATAACCCATCAGTAAAAATTAGAAATTGTTTTTTAAGCAGCTATTTTTAAGAGACATACAGGATTTTGAAAGAATGACTTCATTTTTAAAAAAATATATGTTATTTAGACATAATAGAATATTTACATTATGTGTCGATTCTCAGTGAAATATTATCTACTGTAGTCCAGTTAACATTTTGATGTTTTATTTTTATAATTTAAAGGAAATATCAAAAATCTTTGAAATTAAAGAAAATTTCATATTATATGGAGTTTAAGTAGTCCATTTACTTCCTCTTGTAATCGCTGAAAGATCATCCAGATATCTTCATTTATATGTTTTAAAATGTGTGGAAAAGAAAATGGAAGTAGCATACTTTTTTTAAGTGCTCAAATACCTGGGTTATCCCAACACTGTTGTGAATATGCAATTGCAACAAGCACAAAACTGTAACCCAAAATAAGAAGAATACACGACATGTTAAAAATATATCCTGCAATTTTTTCAGTATATTTTTTTTCTAAGTTAATGGATTTTTAACTTATAGATAGTGAAACTGCTTTCATTGATCAAAGCCCCCCCCCCCCACTGTGTAGCTTTGTGCTTAACTTCAAACAAACATTCATACGTTGATCCTGATTAAAATATTTTTCTTAAGAGCTTGTCAACTTTATGAAGGTTAGTGAAACATGAGTTCTGCCAACCTGAATTAATTGTTTTTTTGACTCAGTGTTGTTGATGCCATAATTTACCATATTTTTCAGACTGTAGTGTCAGTTTTTCTACAAAGATTTCACATCTACTTATGATAAAAACTACTAGTTGTTTCATTTTGACTAGTAAATGAGAAATAAGTCCTAATAATTTATCTTAAATAACCAAATTTACATGCATATAATACAATTTGTCTGACTATTTATTAGACTGATTTATTACATAGTGGTGTAGCAAATATCTAAAGTATTATTGGCTGCTATGATAATGGAAGAACTAAAATTAGTAACTTTCTCAGCCTTGAAACATCTTAGGAGGAAAATGTATATGAACTTTTTTTTTTATGAGAAACACATGAAAAAATGAGTTTACATTTTATTTGTCTATAAAGATAAAAAGTATAAACAATACTTTTTTCTGTTGGAGTTCACTGGAACCCAAGTTTCTACTTCAAAAAACATTTTGTTTTAAGACATAATCATAATAAACACTAAGTTAATTTATTTTTTAATTTCAATGCACCACTACCAGACTAACATTATATATGAGCATTAGTAACTTAATTTAAAAATATAAAAAGAAAAGTCATATAAAAATTTCATCCATCAGATCACAATAAATCATAGACAACTTAATTATAACAAAGAAGAATTTTTTAAATCAGATAACAAGCTTGTGTCTTAAGTTTCCAACAAGTAGACAATCTCAGCCCTTAATAATTTTAAAATGCATACCATTATATAAGACCTAGTTTTATTCTCTAGTGAAAATAAATTCAAATGTTTTAGTTTCTTATTATAAGTATTATATGCCCTTTTTTTCTGTTATTTCATTTAAAAAGAAAGAACCATGTAAAGTCTAATGTGGCTTCTTTCTTGTTCTTTAAAAATGTATTTGCATTAAAAAAGAGCATTTTTTAAGTTATTTTTACATATAAGTTTGTAAGTGTCCATTTTGTAAATGGAGAATCATTACATGCTGTATAGTATTGAGATCAAGTAAGAGTTCACAAAAATATTTTCTTAAGATTTAAATGAAAATACAAACTTGCATTTCCCAGAACACGAAGTTCCCAGCGTTTTTTATAGCATTTTAAATTCTATACAAACACGAACATTAGATCCATGACATCTTTTTTAATATTTCTCTTTGGTAATTCTTCATATAACTGCATCTTACTCAGTATGTGAATAAACTTAGGAGTGTTGTATCTTTTAGTCACCAATCAAAGATGGGGACCTAAGCTTCCAGTTGCTTTTGAGTAAAATCAACACACAGTTTGATGGTGGGAGTTTGAATGCAATCATAGAAAACCTAAGAAGAGATAAATCTGAATGGGCTAACCAGCATCTACAGACCCTGTTTAAAATGGCAAGTCAGTGAACATACATAGTCAGATTTTGCATAATAAATTGTGACTAAAAATAGGCAAAGTAATGATAATTAGTAAAATTGTACATTATAAAGATTACAAATTAATCGAACAGTGACTTCATCATATACTTGCTTTATGTAAGGTTTTAATTGTTTTTTTTTAAAGAAATGAATAATTTTCTATTTTCATGGGGAATTATGATATAGTTCTTTTGATATCTCCTGCCAAAATGTATAGTTACAAAAAAAATTGATCGTTATGATTGGCATAACTACTACAGTACTTAGTTCACCAGTGAACTAAGTATCTTACATCAATCAAGGTTTAGTTTAACAAATGAAAATAAATGATAAAAACTTTTCAGAGATCATAATAATTCAAAAACAAAACTAGCAGCTTATCAATACAGTCATAAATCACTGAGATGTTAAATAATTTAATCTTATGATGGAATAATGAGACGGAAAAAAGTTTTCTTCACAGTACAAAAAAAATATGGCGAACACTTTGGTTTGGTTTAAAAACAACTGCTTTGTATAACATTTGATTTGCAGAAGCTAAATGGTAGTTACATTATTATGTAAAGTCTTCTTGATAGCTTAAATAGTTTATCATCACAGGTGGAACAGTGAGAAGTCTGCATATAGTCTCACTTACTTATTTAAGATAATTCATTATGTTCTATCTAGTCACCCACATCCCTCAAAATAATCTTCCATCAGCTAGAGCTTGGAAAAAACATGAGTCTTCAGGAGTGCCTAAAGATGGAGTACAGAATTTCTCAAAGAGTTATGAAGAATCAGGACTTCTTTGAAGGAGTGAGGGCATGTAAGTATGTAATTTTCTTATTTGGAATTCTCATGGTATAAATCCTGTTTGTTATGACATTTTGCAAGAGATCAGTATACATTACTTGACTCTTTGCCATTTGTTCCTGTGAATTTAAGGTGTCAAAAGTTTTAAGTTGTCCATCTTCTTTGAAGTAATAATTAATCTGCTGTTTGTTGATTTCTGTACAAAATATTAGAGAAATTAAATCATTCACTATATTTCATAAAGGTAACAAAACATTCACTTTGACTGGACATTGCAGCTTAAGTAACGTGTCTGTCTGTTGTGACTTATGTGAAAATATCAAACTGTTTTGTTTTTGTGGTAGTTTCAAAGCAAATCCATTATCAGTTAATTGTGACATCTCTGAGAAATTTTATTTTGTTAAAACTACTATGAAAAAAGTAAACATATATTAATAATGAATGTAATAGATTATGGTTCATGAAATTTTCTGTCTAAAGATCAGTCGAAATAACATTGTTTTTCTTAGTCTAAAATAACCGTGAAGTTGAACTTATAAAGCAATTCTCAATAACTGGTTTCAAAGTATCATCAGCCATTATCATGAAGCTGAAGTAAAATCTCTAACTCTAGTTGTGTAACTAATAAAAACAAAATCTAACATAAACACGTATTTTTTAATGTTTGTAATAAAGTATATGTTTTCTTCCCTTTTTTACTTTTTTGATAAAATGTTGTAAAAATTACAATGTAAAGAATTGTGTAACCCAATGTAGGTGAAACTGACTTAATTTAGTGTGATGTAACTTGTTGGCTTTCAGTTTTTAGAAGAAAAAAATTTACTCTTTATGCTTTCAGTTTTGATTGACAAAGATAACAAGCCTATGTGGATGCCAGCAACAGTAGAAGAAGTTAGTGACAATGTCCTTAAATCTTATTTTGCAGCCCTTCCTAAGGATAAAGAGCTTGTGTTTTTTTAGCTAGAGTATGATATTCATAAGTGTTATTGCAGATAATAAGCTACATATGTCTAGTGTGCTCTGTAGAATCTGGGACAAAATAATTAATCATGTGCTTCTGAAGTTTTTGGTAACTAGTTTTGATAGACTCAAGTTCTTCAACATGGACTGTCTGTTGAATTTAAAATTTTGAAGTTTTCATTTAAGTTCATCTAGATATTTGAACTTTGTGCTGTTTTATCTTATATTTGTTAAAATGCAATTTGATGTTTCAAGACTCTTTTATATATATATATTTGTTGAAAGTAATAGCATAATTTGATTTGTTGTAATAAATTATATTAAATATATGAGTGATGTTGAGGTGGTTTGATTTAGTACACTAGTTTTACACTTGTTAAACTTGTGGGAAAACTAGTTTATCATTAATACAGAAGTGATAGTATGTTAAAGAAGGTGTTGTTTGTTTTCAGGAAATTTTGTGAAAAACTTATTAAACATGTAAAGAAAAAATCTAAAATTATGAATTGTGATATCTAATCACAGATGGTATATTCAATAATTTTTGAACCAATACTTTTTTTTTTTGGCACACTGATTTTGAATATTGATACTGTTATGATTCCATAATAACTATGATGACTATTCAATGGAGATAAATATTACACATTGCTACAAATCTATCATAAAATTTTCACAAAATCAAATTTGTGTGTAACATGACATCTCACAATCAGATCTGTGGACTTACAACGCTAGAAACCAGGTTTAGATACCGTGGTGGTCAGAGCACAGACAGCCCTATGTATAGTGATTAACTTGAAACAAAAAGAATGATACGAGTTCAATTCATATTACAGAAAAAATCCTTTAAAAGTTATGTAGCACACTTCAACGTCACCACATAATAATAATAATACAAGAATCTGCTATCATGAAATATTATATATATATACATGCAGGAAAACCTTTTACAAAAATAGAAAATACAATTGATTAAAAAAGCAAAATAATCTCTTGACAAAAAATTTTTTTATAATTTTCCTAAATGAAAATGTATTTCCCTCCTCCGAAGATTAGCTTTTCTCGTTTCGTGCTGCCCTCTATATGCGAACTTTTTTCAGAAACACATGGCAGAAGCCTTCATCCTCCCTCTGTTGGGACACGTCTCTCATGCGTCATCTCTCCGCCAATAGGAGAGTACCACTAT